TGTTTCATAGATTGACTGGTTAATGACAGGTTTATTTATAAAAAGCATTTCCTATCCTCAAAGCTGACATTTCTATAGGAACATAATAAGTATGGGTCCTATAAAATCATTTTCTACTCAGACTCCTCTAATTCAAGACCTGTCTTCTTTTATTGAAAAAGAAATTATCAAAATGTGAAAGTCTAAAAATAGTGGTTTATAATTGAAAGCCTAATTCTTTCTTTATGATAGGTATGCAACAGTGGCACTATAATTAGAGATGATCAGCACTCCAAAATGAGTCAGACTTTATCATTCACTCTGTACAAGGATGTATATGCACTTCATAGCAGAACACCCTGGACAAGGAAGATGCCGGTCTTTTTCCTCATACCTCTAAGTGGTTACAAGACTGTCTTCCATTACTGTCTCTCTCTAGCAGACAAAAGTAAATCCTTCATTCATATTTGTTTTACTGTTTATCACTGATTTAAGTCAAAAAATTTATAGCTGAAATTGGAATTCTAAAGCTAATGCACACTCACTGACTTTATTAAAGGAATATTGTCATAATACAGGTTTTATTAAATTATTTAGCTGAAATCTGAAAATATTATAGACTTAAATTGAATAACTGATATCATCTTAGGAGAAGATAGATAGTTCCCTATAAAGAAGATAAAATATTCATCTTATAATTTTAAATAACACGTTTTCATCCCAACAAAAATATACTTTTAGGAAACATTTGTTAACTTTCAGACAAAAGACAAGTTATTTTTCATTCCGTGGCTACTTATATATATCTTCAAAATTTGGACAATGACCTGACCTGAAATCAGTTTCTCCAATGACTACAAAGCTCTTGCTGTGATAAAAACAGAAAATTAGCTTCATAAACCCTATGGCAGGAGAAAACTTTTCATAATATAAATAATAAAATTCCTAGTCATAAACAGTGCAATAAGGAAAACGCTATCAATAAAGCCAAATTAAGCCATATTTGGAAACATAAGATAACTGTTAGAACTTTAAATATTAGCAAATGGTAAAAAATGGTAAATGCTTTTGCTTCCACATGTAATTAGCTAAGTTCGATCTGAAAGCAAGCACAACAGATGTCCAGAGAACACAGAGTACAATACATGGCTTCAGTCTAACTTCAGCCTACTCCATCCATATCCTTTTTCCTGGCAGACTGGGCATCATGATTATTAATCTGCCAGCTCTCATCCTGTCCTGAATCCACTTTACAGGAGCCCCAGGCATGTCTAGAGCTAAAGCACAATTGAGAGAACGACCCAAGATGTGTGGTGACTATTAATTTTAGGAATAGAGGCAAGGAGAATATCCTTTGTAACATTTTGCACCAGAAGCTTAGAAATTCAACCAGACTACAGCTAATTGACAAATTATCATATACCCCGGGATTTAAGGGAAAAAATGTTAGTGAAAATCAATTATATTTGCTTTTAGAATGTCTATAAGTTAGCTTCACCTTATTCAATACATATTAAATGACACTCTAAAGAGAAATTATATTTTTCAAAAGGGAATCTGTTATTCAAGCTCTGTATACTACTGCAATAAACCTTATGTGAAAAAGTATGAAGTATGATGGATACAGTTAGAATGCCACAGTTATCCTAGAAACCATTTTGGGGATTCTAAGCAAAACTAAGATTGTCTTCACTATTATCATCATGGCACCCAACTATCAAACATTAATATAGTTAGCATAATTACTGAAAATTACTCATGATTTAGCAGCACCTTTTTATTTAATCCAGCTTTCAGAAACAAACCTTTTGTGTACATAATTTCTCCAATTGCCACCAAATTACAAACAAATTACGATGGAAGAATTAACATGCCGAGCTCCTATTCACTTTGGTGAAGTATGCTGTTTTGTTAGCTTCCCTTTACTGGGAATAAATACTAATAGAATAAATAGTGTGGCTCTTAAGTACTTTTGAGCCTGTGCCCTTCTTTTGCCAGATGAGGAGAAGCTGACTACAAGGCCATCTGCACTGACACCTAACCACAGTTGATTTTGAACCATCAGTTGCTTGTGAAGGTATGTTGAGAGGAAGAGTGAAGCCCCACCCAAATTTCTACCATTATAATTCTCTAGTATCACACAAGCAGACACGGATGTAACGCAAACTCAGCATTTTTGCAGCAACAAAATTCAGAGAACTTTCTCCAGACTTTTCCAGGTAAAAATGGATTATGGAAAGAACCCCTCAGCACACTTAATAGCCGCCTGAATTTGGTCATGTCTGCAAAATTACCTGAGCTTTACCTTAATAACGTACAGTATGCAAACAAAAATCATGATTCTTATTATTAGGCAGAAGTACTGTGAGATTAAAAATGATAATGGGATAAAGAAGATGTGGTATATTCACATGATGGAATATTACTTGGCCATAAGAAAGAATGAGATCATGCCATTTGCAACAACATGGATGGACTGAGAGAGAATAACCTAAGTGAAATAATTCTGATATAGAGAGACAAATGCCATAGGATTTCACTCATATGTGTAATTTAAAAAACAAACCAAACAGTCAAACAAAGAAAAAAAAGAACAGACTCTTAAATACAGAGAGCAAACTGGTGGCTGTGGGGTGGGGGCAGATATGGGTAAAACAGAAAAAGGGATTAAGAGTACATTTATCGTTATGAACACTGAGTAATGCACAGAGTTACTGAATCATTTTGTTGTATGCCTGAAACTAATATAACACTGTATGTTAATTATACTTTAACAAACAAAGAGATAATGTATAAGAAACTGCTTTGGAAAGCGATGCTAATAAAAGTTATTAGTTTGCCCAAATACTCAATACCACTTCTCTATTACTCTAGAAAAGGTAAGCTCACAATCTTACACTGGCAAATGGCACAGCACAAATAATGTTGGCAAGTGTGCATGTATACACATCCATGAACCTACTGCACATTGGAACTATGCTGTCCATGGTCATGGTCTTGTGTGCCCTGCAACATTCTTTTTCCAGACTCATCTAGCCTTCTCATCATCTCGTCCACTAGGAAATCTGAATATACTGACCACGGACTCCTGGCATCTTAATTATTACACATATGTTTCTAAGGCTGACTGGGTTAAGGTATACTGCAAAGCTCGGGAAATGTGAACGGACGGCAGTGGAGAGTACTTGGTACTACTGTTGTGCAAACAAGCTAATGACAGTAACCCTCAATCTACGTACACTACTCTGTAAGAGAATATATGGAAGCAAGTAAGATTGTTTTAATCAATATCAGTAGCACTAAGGAAACCATGATAGAGCAGATACTTTGCCTCATTCACATATTTAATTTACTTCAAGATGGAGGAATACTTATAAACTATACAAATAAAATAAATGAAAGTCTTATTGGAATATGAATAATAAAAAGTGCTTCAAAATAAGCTTCTAAGAACCAATGAAATATTATAATTTATTTTAATAGATCCATTGTTATGATCAAGCTAGAGCACTGTGTTACAGTAAGAATATTTGTATGTAAGGTGCCTGGGTGGCTCAGTTGGGTAAGTGTTCAATTCATATACAGCTCAGGTCATGATTGTAAGGTTCTTGAGATCAAGCCCCATGCCAGGGTCCATGCTGACAGTGTGGAACCTGCTTAGAATCCTCTTTCTTTCTCTCTCTGACCCTTCCCTGATCACTCTCTCTCTCTCTCTCTCTCAAAATAAATAAAATAAACTTAAAAATATATTTATATGCATATTACATCTATGTTCATAAATGAAAGCAAACTGTCATCAGTAGCAAATTTGTATTATAACATTCACACATAGAACTGCATTAAAGTCAAAGTAGCTGCGGATAGATTGACCACATTTCTGTGCTTCGGTCACAGTGCTTAAAGAAAGCGTCAAGGCCCTTTTCCCCCTACACACACCCAGATTATTATCTGTTATCAACTGTGGTCTGCCCCCATCACTTGTTCTCCTATCATATTTCAGCTCAGCTGAAGTTATTTGGAAAAGAGACAAGAGGCAATGTAGATGAAGCAGTCTTCAAATTATATCCTCTACAACTTTAACTCGAAGATGAAGCCCTAATCCCAATTCTGAAGTAAACTTGCCTAGATCTCACTCTAGAAAATTCAGATACATTCAAAGATATTGTTGGATTATCAGAGATCATCTTATGTTATATACATTGGCTGAAGACCTGCGTTTATCAGCTGTGTTTAAATATTTTAATATCATAAGTTCTTATATAGAGAAAATAGTCCATATAAAAGAAAATTCATGAAAATTATGAAATAGATGGACCACCACACACCTCCACACACCTTCATGAAAATTTCAAAAAATCATGAAAGAAAATTATGCCAACATCAATTTATAGGGCTTGTTCTAAAAACAAGTATTATAAGGCCACAATATTTTTAAAAAGTAAAATACACTTAACAAACACATTATAATTACACTACTCATTTTTTAAAAAAGTTAAGACCTTTGTTAGCCTCTTCTTGGAAACTTTGACAAAATATGGAAACATAATCTGTTTTCTGACAAGAAATTAATGTAACAGATTAGAAAGTGAATTTTCAACTGTAAACTATATAAAATACATGACAGCCATGTTTATTGAAAATAATACCAAAGACAACTCATTTTTGTTTCAAAAACAATAACAGTCTAAACTTAGTTATACTTTGCTTCAACTTTATTCCAAAAAGACAATCCATCTTCATAAAACTTAATTAAAAAATAATAATTATAAAATAATTCTATTGCAATGCTGTGTTTCTCTCCTAAGGAGTTAGGCATGAGGAAATAAGTAAAAATGGAGCTGAGGATAGGGAAAGGGAAGGGAGGGGTATGGAGACAAGGTCAAGAACAGAAGTAGAGTTAAGACAGAGATGGAGGTTACTTCACATGGCACCTTTGTGTAGAGCACAGCAGAGTGAGGGGGCAACAAAGTTTAAAATGGTTACATTTTAAGAGTAAAGAGGTAACAAACAGAATCTCTTACCCTGAAAAACTCTTTAGTGGATCCAGAGTCTAATGTTCCATAAGCAATTTCTGTTTGCTTAGAAAGATCCTCAGCACTTTCGATGGGAGACACCATCCTCTCTACAGTCAGGAAGGCAGCTAAGTTAGCCGTGTAGGAGGAGATTATGATCAGGGTAAAGAACCACCACACACCTCCAACAATGCGCCCAGAGAGGGATCTAATAACAAGTATGAAATGGATTTGTAAAGTGAAATGAATGACCTAATAAAAAAAAACAAGTTAGCAGTATTGTGCAAATATTGACTTATATGGGAATATTTAACTTTATACTTTTCAATATATCTGCTATTTAATAAAACTGGAAATTATTAAGCATTCTAGAGAAGGAGTACAGATTAGCTAAATCTAATGAGATACCCAGAGGCTAAAAGTTCAGATTCCTTAGATTTTTTCACAGTTATAACATCCAAATTGTTTATGTTATAAAATCTCATAATGAAGCAATTTCAAGAAATGTCCAAATAATCTATCTAATTCTCATACTACTATCCATTCATGACATAAGCAAACATGAACAAGAGAATTTAAGATCACTCACAAAATTCACAATAATGTTGACAAACACAATCAAGTATTAAAAATAAAAGAATGTGCACCATTTAAAGTGATGAAACCCTCCTTTTAATTCAGCCAATGAAGTTCCAAAACCCTCAAAAAGGGCTAAAATTTCATTGGGGTTTTGTGTGTGCAAAAGCATAGGTTGTAGATACAATGCAGGATAGAAAATGGAAAAAATGATATTACAAACAAAGGTATGACACAAAATATAATTCTTAATGAGTAAAAATCTGATGCTTCATGGCATGGACTGCTACGACCCTGTTCCTTTGTGCCTCCTGCTTAAGAAAAAAAGAAAACTCAAGGAAAAAGAAATTAGAACATTTAAAAGTTTGCCAAGATACAAATTTCTAATTTTCAGTATAATAAAATAATATTTCTTTAACCATAAATTCCTATTTATAATACTTTTTAAAAGATTAATAGATTCGTAATCATTTACTTTACACCCTAGGTAGATAAATATATAGAAAAAAATAAATATTTATCACATTATTTTGAAAGATTTGATGGGATTCTACATATAAAGGGATTTAAGTAATATTAATAATCCAACATAACTTTTTTTGTTAAAACGTTATGTCTAACAATTAAACTTCTTACAGCAAAGATGTAACATTTCTAAAAAATTAAATACGAACATTTGGTAATTTATGGCCTAAAACAGACCTCTTGATATTTAACAGTAAGAAATACACCTTTTGATGAAACACAGATACTGTATCAAATGACTGGGTAATATTTGTAGAATAAACTACTCTAGGAGTCAAGAAAAAGTGAGGAAGCTAATTTAAAAGTATTTTTTTTAAGATAAGACCATCTGTTGCTAAAGGAGAGAAAGAGAGTGAGTGAGCAATGAAAAACAAAGAATATAATTAAGAGCCTTTATCACAGTCTCTGAGAGATGCAAAGAATTAAATAAATATGATGCGATGGAAAAAGTTAACTTCTCTTATATTCTGAAAAGGATATTAAACACATTTTAAATTTAAGTAATCTCTTGTATAGACACAGCCACTCTCAAAATGTTCACTATTTATTCCATTTAAATGAAAAGTATAATTATATGACATGTACCCCATATTTAAGAGGGCAGTTCAGATCCCTTAAAACAAAATTGACTTCACAGTAATTGTTTTGACACTATACACTGCATAGTAATTGGTAATATATTTGAGAATCATTTTTATAAGTAATTCTGTTCCACTTGTGAAATAAACACAAGTTAAAGACATAAGTTGCTCGCAATTTCAGTGCTTATGCCAGATTTTAATGAGCTGAAATATGCCAATTTATGTAAGGTTTTAGAAGATATCTCAAAAAAATATATTGAACTTCTATAGCATTCAAAGCAGAACATTCCTGAGCAACTTACTATTTATTTGTTAAGTGTTTGCAAAGGATCGATTAATGTTTCTGAAAGAGTTCCAGAGAAATTTTTTGTGGAGAGGCAAATTCAATTTATGTTTTATGGTGACAGACAAAAATGGTTTATGTAAAAAATAAAATGGAACAAAATAAAACAAAACAAGAAGCAACCACCTTTCTGCATCTGCACTAAAGGAGCAAACACTAGTATTCTACCATTACTTTTAAATCTCTATTAAAGAATTATTTTATGAAAGGTATTTTTATCCATTTCAATCCTCTTGAGATACTGGGGAGAAACCAGGGGTAAGCAGGAGAATAAAAGTCAACTTACAGCCTTCTGCTCTTACAATTTCTGTGGTTCTAGTTTACAGAAAACTAGAGTTAGTATATTCTAAACTTAGTTTTAGGCAAATGACCAATTCAGTTCAATAAATCATTCAAGATTAAAATTTAAATGTACTATTAATATTAATAATATATTTCCACATAATATATTACTTGAAAAGAGGTGATAAATATCTTTGAAAATATTTAAAGAGCACTTCAAAGTGATCTGTGCATTTCTCGCATCATCATCATCATCAACAGCAGCAGCAGCAGCAGCAGCAGCATTATTAGATACAAGCCTTTTCTATTCTTTTCTACACTGGAGTAACCATCATTACATTGTAAAAAAGTAGTTTGGTTTGTTTAGAAAATCATTAAATTTTCCAATATCATGCAGTATGTTCAATTTTTAAATGCACATATAACATAGAATGAAAGATATGCACACTTGAAATTTTTCAATGAAGCAAATATTGCTCATGTATACTCTGTGGCAAAAAATAAATTCATTGGTAGCAAGGAAAAATAGTCTATATAAAAATCTTAGCAGGAAGTAAAAAGTATTTCATATGAAATTGTAGTAAGTCATGACTCAGGAATGAAATCAAGAGCACAGAAAAAAGGCCATAGTTTAGGAAACAGGCTCACAGAAATTTAGAAGTTATCCGTATGTCATATTGGACACTGGGGTAACACAGATTATGGAAGGTGCCTGTGCTTCAGTGCCTATACATATGTTTTCCGGGCCTTGAAAAGCACTGGACACCTAAACAAATAACTTCAGAGCCATAATGCGTGAGAATCGCAAACCTAAGTCTCCACCTATGGGAACCCAGATCAATATATTCTACTTTATAATAAACCTCATACATTTCTCCTTACTTATTCAAAGGCATAGTTTATGTTACCCTAGGATAATTGCCTTATATCTCAGGAATAAAGTAGTATTATACTTCAGTAGCCTTCTTACCAAAGATGAATAATTTTATTCTTATTTATTGACCAAAATATTCTTGGAAATCCCATTTAGTTAGAATTTTCTCCCTCATTATTAAAAACTTCTCTTTATGTCTTCAACTTAAATCAGACAAACCTAATATTGAGATAAAACTATATATATCTTATATATTTTGTCAGAGATCACCATAATTATATATTATATGCATAATTATTCTGTATTTCTATATTATTCTATATCATATACATATTAAAGTTATTATACATGTATGCCATGCAAATACTATTGGCATATTTCTAATTCAGTGCAGTTCCATAAGAAGTCACAGGGAATCTTATGGAATTAAGATGGTTAAAGTCCAAATAATTTTTAACAATGTGTCCTACTAACAGACAAGTAAGCAACTAATAATTTCTGCATACATGATATATTTACTTGATCTCACTGGGTGGAGTATACAAAAAAAAGACTACAAAAAGATACATATTTTTTGAGTTTCTCATAGTTTTTTGAAATTAACCACTTATCTCCAAAGTGCTGAAAAACTAACAATATAATGAAATAGTATTAGAAAAGTCACCTCCTTTACTAGTCATTAAAATACCCCATAGAATCAAAGGAGAGTAATCAAACCTAGATTAAAATATGCCTGAAAACCAATAATTAAGGTTTTAAATGTGAAAAGAATCACACTAGAAAAAGTATAGTTTATTCTTCTGAAAAGCCAGATATGGCTATCTTTCTTATTCACGTATGAAACATGAACAAAGGCAAAATATATTTTGTGACATATTCGTTATATTTAGGCATTCTAATGTAGGAATTAATATATCATAATGAGACTAAAGGGGTATAAAATATTCCATTTTGTGTGTGAATTACTATTCAATATGGCACAAGCCTTATGGAATGAATCAATCATCATCACCCAGCCATGTATTTTTTAGATACTTGGAAAATATATTATTGTATATTCCCTTTAATCCAGCGACCTAACCTTTAAAAAAAACAGAAATTTTATACCTTTCTGATACCATTTGCATGAGCTAACAATGGGAAAATAAAAGAGATGGGATGTGTGCCAATGAAGTTTTATAAACAAGTTATTGTTTTTGTAGTTAATAAGTAATGTTGCCCATTTTCCCATATACAGGTCTGTGGATCAACACACAGATGACTGTAAAATGAGAATATGCAGCAAAAACACGGTACCCCTCCAAGAAGGCATGGAATGATAGGAACCTTATGCATTTTATAGCCTCTCCATGGTGTGTATAATTTCACCATGAAATATATGCTCAACATTCAAAGAACATTGCTCAAATATTTCACAGTCTTACGCCAACGGTTAAAGAATCTGTCCCAAAGAGTCTCAAACTGCTTGGACAGGTAGTCGGCAGCTGTTTACTTCTTTATAGTGAATTCATAAACACCATGAATATCCACTTGAGACCTAAAATGCACAAAGTTGAAGCAGGTGAGTGACCAACCTTGGCGAAATATCGCATCCTTGCTGCATAAAGGCACCCAAGGAAAACCAGAGACTATTAAAAATCCCAAATTCATTAGTTGATTCACTACTTTGTGTTTCTCTTCCATCTTCAAACTCCTCAGTGTGCCACTCGTAGGGGCTAAATCTGCTGACCAGGAATAAAACTACACTGACCCCAATGTAGGCAAAAACAATGCACATCCAGATCTCATAGGCTAAAGGATCAAGAAATGAAAACACTCCTGGTTTGGACTTCTGAGGCTTCTTGATCATGATAGATATCCCGAGGCTCATAAAGGGCTTTGAGAAGTCAATCACCTCTTCTCTCACAAGGGTAATAGTTAATGGAGCAATTGCAATGTCAGCTTTCTGTAAGGGAAACAAATGAAAGTAATAGTACCTGGAGTCATGGTCAAAAGAGGAATCATGCTTACATTATTGGATCAAAAGGGAAGGAAAGGAAATAAGGGAAATGTCAATAATTATTTCTCTGGTAAAGTCCCAGTAAAGAATAAGCAAACAAAAAACAAATCTGTTCTCCAAATATCCCTCCTTTTTTATAAATACACAGTCCACTCATCTGACTTGATTTTTATAATTACATCTCTACACTGCATCTATGCCTTTGCAGCCTTTAGACAATTAATACGGCCCATATGTTTCAAGACAGATAGAATGTCTGTCTCATTTAGTGTGCATGTGTGCTTCTGACTTCATCCTTAATCTTCAGACGTTCACAAGGAAATAGAACAAATTTCTTAATGTGGGAAACCAAAAACCTCATATATGGTACTTTGCAGGGAAGGGAGGCATTCTGTCAACAAAAGTTCAAACTGAATGACTTTATTTGGGAGAAGAGCTATACTTACCCCATATACAAGTTCTCCAACCATCCCATTCCAAATTTTCGTGTCAGCATCCCTGGCCCCATACTTGCCATCCCCAACAATTGTCAACTTGTACTTGAACCCACAATGTTTGGCGATTTCTGCAGCCAAGTCAACACAGTAGCCCTCATAACGCTCATTGCCTTCAAGCATTTCATGATTTTTCTTCATCATAACATATGGAGATTCCTACATGGAAAGATAGTGCTTTCAATGATAAAAATAACGGTGTAACTACTCTAACCAAATCAAGCCTTCCAGTTTAATTATTACCTGTTAGCCAGAGAAATGGTAGAGTATAAATGGTGGACAATATTAGCAAAAAATATTTAAGCATAATGCTTTTGAAAAAAGGTCATCAAATGTCTATCATTATATTTTATTAACATGGCTTGTACCTAGCCATACCAAAGTAAATAAGACACTCAAAAGCAGCAACTATTTGTTTGTCCCCTTGTCATGTTTGTTAACTCCTAGAGCTTAGACAGGAATATGCTGCTCAACCTCTGTTTTATTCAACTCTGGATCCACCACGCTCTCTTGTTAAGGCTATGCCATCCTCAAGAACCAGCATTCACCCAAAACCCTGTGCACTGCTTCTTCAAGGGTAAGGTTGATGTGGAAATAAGGTTCATGGTCAGTGATGCACAGACTAAAACAATCATTGCCATGGTGATGTATGGATGCTACCCTCTCACGTTTCATGTCTCACTTCATCTATGAAATCTACTACCCTAGAATAATATTACAAAGATAGAGAGAAGCTTCCCCTGTAAACCTAAGAAAAAGGAGGTATGAAAATGATTCAAAATAGCTCAATATTCTCCTCAGTAAAGTAGCACCAAGCATATTTGGGGGCTCAGAGATATAGTTTCTCTCAATGGCATGATTAAGGCAAAATTCCTCAAATGTCCTGCTTATACTTATTAAGATATTTCCAAATTCCAATCAATGTTTTTATTCAAAGTGCTTATTATATTAACCTAGCTGTATTTTTCTTCCCAATATTGTTAGAATAATGAATCCCACAAATTTACTGTATCACTGCTTAATAAAGTAAAATACAATTGTTTTGTAATAAAACCATATACTATTAGTGAACCCCATTTCCTCAATTTCATTTCACCAATGGCATGTCATGAGGATCTACATCTTCCTTGCCTCTAGCCAAAGTCTAGACATTCAAAATTCAGTTCAATTTTATCACATTCATTCAGCACTGGTTATGTGTTGAGATTGGGGTTAAAAAAAAGGGAGATTATCTTTATCTTTAAGAACTTCATCTTATATTATAAAGAAAGAGATGTTGACACCACTATGATGCCATGTAACAAGTGCAAAGATAAAATGTTCCACAACTGCATGGGAAGTGAAAGGTAGCGCACTTGACGAAATACAAGAAGCTGTCTTCAAGACTTTCCCAAGTTGTTCACACTTGGGGATGCACCAGTATACGAATTATTTGTCAAGCTAAATTTCAATATTGAAGAGGATAGGAAATATTTTGAATGCTTTATTTAATGCTTATGTCGTCCTTCTGACAGAGTAAATATGCTATACATGATTAAAATGGTGCAAAAGCAGCATTGCATTAGTTATCCTAAAATGCAAACAGCAATTCTAGCTGGCAGATGTTTTTCATAAGAAAAACTAAAGTAAAGCATAGGCATCTGTAGCTAATTACCAAAATTGTAGTGACAACAACAGTCTTATTCTCAAGCCCAGAGGTATCGTTTCCAGAAGGGAGCTCAGTAAGGGTAACAACCATTTTGTCTACTTCACTCCAGTATCCAATCTGAAAAAGGTTACAGAAAGATAGGCACATGGATAAATGATCTTTCTATTAGCCAAGAATTTAATAATTTCAAACTCATTTCTGAATCCAAAATTACATCTAGGCATTAGCTAGGCTTCTTCTAAACAGCGATGTATCTTTTATATACATGACTCTAATAGAAATAGGGCTTATAAAAACAATGAAACAAAAACAATTCTTAAAAACAGCTTGTTTCTTCATGTTCACGTCTCATATTTTCCCCAGGTTAATCTGTTTGGGAGTGATCATATAGAAACAGAAATAAAATTCAAGCAATGACATTTTATCCATAACAGTTAAAAGAAAGATGTTGAACTAAAACATTAACGCATATTTGCACCCGCTATGTTTTGTCTTCTGAACCATAAACTGTCAGTGATAGTTCTTTCTCTTCTCATTAAACTTCTTATACCTTGATAGAAAAAAAAAATATATATATATATATAAAGGGTTCATTCACAGTTGTTTAATGATTACATTTCAATGTTACTTACCAGAAATGAATAGATTAGATTTAGGAAAAAAAATATTTTAAAACACAACTGTTTCTGGAAGTAGTTAAACTCTACCTACATGAATATACATTTCCAGGACTCTTCGGAAGAAGAGGCGATGGGCAGCTAACTCACCTCCTCACAGAGAGAAAACTGCCTTTAGATCCCTAATGATTTACCTTCCGGGGCCCATTAGTTTTGAGTTCCATGATGTTAATTGTATAGTTTATTCTTTTTCCATTCTGGTCAAATTTTATATTTCCTGAGAGACCTTCAACCTGAACCTAATGAGGAAGGAAAGCAGCACAGTTATCAATTTAGTTCAACCAAAGGCACAAACGGGGTACAGACTATTCTCACTGGGCTCCAGTCAAGAAGAGTTCATTTATAAGATTTTTTTCCACTCTTTAACCTACCTTTGTGCTGTCATGAAATAATATTCACTTTATATTAAACATAACAAGGAGACTAATGTAGTAGACAAAAAACAGTGTTCATTGTTAAGTCATATTCACAATCATTTTGAGCGACTAACCTGTTTGAGGGCCCTTTCTATTTCTACGCCTTGTCCCCAGGGGACTGCTGGGTTTGCCAGACAATCTCCTGCATTTCCCCTTCGGGAGATTTCAATTCTCTGCTTCCGTAGGTTGCGGAAAGCTTCAGTCATCACTTGAACAGCGTCATAGGTCAGAGCAGAAGTATACTGAAAAGCATCACATACTCGTCATAAGAATGGGACACAATTCGAGATTCACTGCACACTGGCCACCATACAATACCAGTTCAAAGTCTAAGAACTCTGAAACAATTCCTGCATCTAAAAATCTAAGAATCCAAGAGAGGTAGTACAGAATATTGGGACTAATGAGTGTGTTCTGAACAGTAAGCATCTCCTGTTATGTTAACATTTCAGCTATTTCAGGTGAGAACTTTCATAATTATGTCTTTTCTTTTCTAACCAATTTCTTATTAGAGCATCACTCTATGATCTGATTTGGGGATACAGGGAATGATCAAAATAATAAATAAATATCCCTCCATGAACGAGAGATTCATTTGGCAATAGGGAAAGAATACTGATTAGTTTGTCTTTAATTCTACCTTAGGCATGCTCACATAGATCAGCAATAGTCTTTGGAATGTTTTTAAGATCCCCTTGGTGATTATGGTAATCAAATGGAATCATCAAATTTCATAATTTCTATGCCCCCTTTATGCCTCAACAGTTTATTGTAACATTGGTTAGATCCCAATGGGACAGTAAGATTATTACAGGAGTTGGGGGCCAAACGAAAAAAAAAAAAAAAAAGCACTAAGTGTATGAAGCATTATCCATGGTTACATCAATATTACTTCATGCATGTATATATACCTCCATCTATCAAATATATCATGCTGCTATTATTAATGATAAACCACATTTTAACACAACCGCTTTAATGAATGCTGAGGAAATTTCTGATTTTGAGCATTTTTCAATCGGTAAGTAACAAAAACATAGTGAATGAATATGGGTAATAAATGCAGTATCATACTGAATTTGCAACACAAAAATTCTTGACCACAAATCCAAAATGGCCGCTTAGTATTTCCAAGTAATGCTCCTCATTTTTATAGTAAATTAGTTCCTCCACTCTCAAAAATGATTATTTTATACCTTCTTTTCTCTAATATCCACAGTTTGCACACTTCTCTTTAATTCCTGCTGATTATCTTGCCTTACACATCACTGAAAAAATAGAAGCCAAATAGAAGCCATAAGACAGAAAGCTTTTATCTTCCAACCATAAAACTGCCAAGAGCACACACACTTTCCATTTCCTTCCTGAGTTGACAAAACATGAGGTGGCCATGCTTCTACATCAAGATAGCCACTCCAACAATGCACTTATGGGGTTCCTTAAATCTTTCTAAGAACATTTCATGTACAATTATACATAACCTCAATATCCTGTATCAGCATTTTTTTCTCTCTCTACTGGATCATTTCTATTAGCAATTCAAATGCTCTGATATCTTTGACCACAAATAAAAAGATAGATGATGATAGAGGATGATACTGATGATAGATGATAGATAGATGATAGATAGATAGATAGATAGATAGATAGATAGATAGATAGAAAGAATAACTGCTTCTTAGGTTTAGATCTCCTTCTAATACCCACTCTCTTTTTTGGCTTCCTTCATCAGAAAATGTGTTAAGAGGAATTTTCTAAACTTGCCATTCCACATCAACCATCCTTGCTTTTTCTAAGAGGTCTCACTTGGTTCATTGCTTTAAATTACATGTACACACTCAAACATTGCCTCCTCAATGATTCCCTTCCTTCCCAGCACATTCCCAGTCACTCCCTTTCATATGACCTCCTTTATTTTCATCAGTATCACACTTTCTTTATTTCTTGACTTCATCTCTCTTCCCACTGGAATATTTACTCTAGGGAAGTAGAAAACTCATCTGTCACCACTGAATTCTCAGAGCCTAAGTCAGCACCGGGCACGTTGTAAAGACTTAGGAAGGAAGAAAAGAATTCAGGCAAGGGATTCACAGATCTTGATAAGGACCTGGGACTCACCTTCTCTTCCAGTCCAGTGAAAAGATTATATAAATAGATAATTGCAATCTACCTATTACAGTGTTATAGATTGGCCTGATGGTGGATAGATGTTTGTCTGGTTTATCCTTTTAAATGAGAGATATTACAATAAGGCAAATGAAAAATAGTTTATGTCATATGAATCATCCCCACTCTGCATCCAGAAATTTCTTGAGCCTCCATTTTTTAATGGAAAAATGGCAGTGTGAGGTTATCAGTCATTTAATCTTTGCATGAATTGGTTTAGGTGAATCACTTTCATTTGATCATATTAATGAGTCAAATTTGATGGAAAGTTAGTAGGAAGAAGAAAAAGAGAAAATGGTTTGAAGCCATGTGCCCTGTGATTGAGTGCTGTAAACTGTAATAAGATATTCATATTTACCTCTAGGTTTTCTTATTTATTGCTTCTCATAAGATACCAGTTACGCAAAGTCATTGCAGGCCTATATGTGAGCCTTTTACTTATTTAGATGGTCTTCTGGAGGCTTGCACTTGTGTTCCTCACAAATATCTCAGCTACACAGATCTAAATAAAATGCATCACCATTTTTTCCAAAAATCTGCAACCTTTTTTCAAACTGTACATGTGAAAAATTAAGAAAATATAGTATTTAATAGGTCCAACTCAATTTAGAATAAACCCAAATTTCTGACAGTAAAGGAAGTTTAATACCTATACTTTCTGCCTTAAGAAAGTATTATGCAGCCATTAAAAAGTGATACTAATAAATGTTATTTGGCAATATGAATAATGTCAATTATAAAATTAGTGAAAAACATTACAATTAAGCTTTTTAAAAAAAATTCTTCATTGATAAATAAGAGTGATTAAAAAATGGTAATATCCCTTCAACAAATGAGGGAAAGAAAAATAAACAAAATGATTACAATAACAGAAAGGAAATTTGGAAATTTCCAAAATAAGAGGAAATCCAAAATGATTATATTTCTTTTCCAAGTTTTCTAGAATATTCATGGACTACTTTTAAAAAACATTTTTTAAAATTATTTATTTTTGAGAGAGAGACAGCGTGAGCAGGGGAGGGTCAGAGAGAGAGGGAGACACAGAATCTGAAGCAGGCTCCAGGCTCTGAGCTAGCTGTCAGCACAGAGCCTGACACGGGGTTCGAACCCATAAACCGTGAGATCATGACCTAGGCTGAAGTTAGACACTTAACCGACTGATCACCCAGGCACCCCTCAAGAAAATCTATGTTATATCAAAGGCACTGTTTCATAACATAGCTACTTAAGCAAAGACCTGGAGAAATAAGACAACATATCAGGATTTATCTGGCTTATGTATATGACTGTTTCTATTCTCCTAGAGGGAAAAAATGATTAATTTGCTTTCTTCTACATCAATTAGGTCTTTGCCAGTATGATTCTTAAAATAAAGTCTAGGTCACTGAATAGGAAACAGAGCCTAAATTTAATAAATTGGATATGCAAAAAAAGAAGTATTGCAACATCTATTAGAAAGTTACAGTGAGATTTAAAAACCAAAATCTTCTTTGAGTCAGGTTGCTCACATTACTATGAGAAATCTATAAAGCCATCTGCTAAGTGCTTTAGAGGTCTATAAATGTTGGCGAACTACATTAAAAAATAAGATTAGGTTGAATGAACTAAAAGCATTTAGGTCTGTGCAGCATGTTACAATTATGATTCAGAGCATGAGCATAGTAAGAAGAAAAATCCTTTCAACCTTTTTCAAATGTTCAAATTTAATCAAGTCTCCAGTCTATTATCATTCTTAATTAAAAGTCACAATCATAGAAACACAATTCTGGACTGAGCAAAAATAAACAGACCCTGTCTCCAGAGTTCCTTTTTGTTTACATGCCACATATGTGGCTCGTTTATTTTTCTAAACAAATAAATTCACATTTTTTATTGCATTGTTAGATATTTCAGTTTTATTCTACCATTCACTAAACTAGGTGCAAATTAATTTGAAGGGAACACGATGCCAATGTAACTATCTCCTTCCTTGAAAACAAATGCATCATCTCTGCCCTGGTGTTTATGTTCTGTGAAATCCCTCAGCGGAGTTGGAAATTTATAATTCAGTGGGGGGCCATTATGTTTTGCAGTGTTCATATCACAATTGCATCATATCCACACTTTAAAGAAGAAATCTGGGAAAACGCTTTTATGGTCCATTTTCCAAATGCACTTTTTATTCCATTTTAAATTAGATTTATTGAGACTTATTTTTCACATATAAAATGACATATGCATTTTAAACATGTTTGTTATGCCCAATAGTCATCAGACATTATTCAATAATACATTACTATAATCACTGGGACCCGAAAACAATTTTCTGACAGCCAAAAAAGGGAATAAAAAGAAGTTCTAGGTACATTTAGAATTTAATGAACATACAAAAAGGATAAATAGGCTATAATATAACATTTTATGGGTCATTATTATGATAATACCTACTCCTAAACATGTTATCTGCACTGTGCTAAAACAAACAAAAAAATTATCAAAGAAAGGTACTAGACTTTAGATATAATGAAAGTGTTAGTAAACTTGCTATGAATGACCATTTTCCAAATTTTCCTTGGCATCTGAAATTGAATTGTATATAGTTTAGAAAGCATTGAATATAACCTCAGAAGACAGAGCCCAAGTCTTGATTTTATTGTTGATGACTCAGTTGCCTTGGACAGTTTAACAAAAGTAAGAGTGTCCAAGGTTTGTTATCAATGAAATAAGGAAAGCAGTGTCTCTCTTATGTCATAGTAGTACTGGAAACACTCATGAGGAAATAAGAATTCATGAAACTGGGTGGTTTCCTAGCAAGTCCATTTTAAAAATTCTATGCAACAAATATTTGTATTCTAGTTTTATAGATGAAGATTCCCAGGTAACAAGTTATATCTTGGCCAGGGTCACAAACAATTTAAGTGGAGTTTGAATTCAGATTTCTGTGTTCTGGAGCAATGATGGTGTGCAACTGTCCTGGTTTGCTGCTAGTATTACTGTTTTAAGCAGAAAATCTGCAATCTCAGGAAACTCCTCAGTACCAGGCACACTGGGACAGTGGGTCCCTTTGTCCAAACACCACATCAGATGAGTAGAGTTA